TTTGAGTATGCTAGACACGGTGTTGCGTACCTTATACCACTTTGTTGGGCAGTAAACAGTAAGCATGCTGTTCTGTGGTGATACCTTGCTTGTACAAGTAAAGCCTGTCTGAAGATCAGAGAAAAGGAGCAAGCCACAGCCACACCTTACCTCCTTAGCATCTCAGCAGACGGGAGAGTTCCTGTTTCTTCCTGCTTGTACCCTCTCTCTGCCCAGTCTTCTCTAAAGAAGCTGAGTAAACACTAGACTTACTCCAAACTGCACATAGTAAGTGGCTGATAGAAGACACAAGCTCAGGCCTGTCCAGCTTCTTCAAAACCCATGTGCTTTATTGAAGAAGATGCCATTCCAATTTAAATAAAACCAGTTTTTCTTGACTGATGATTGAGTTGGAGGACCCACCTCACTATGCATGCCAGCCCTGGGCAGGTGGTCCTGGATGCGTTAAAGACTGAGAAAGCCATGAGGAGCAACTCAGCAGCAGCTACCCTCCATGGCCTCTGCTTGAGTTCCTTGCTGCAGGTTCTCATCCTGCCTTTCTTCAATGATGGTTGTGATGTGGAAGTATAAGCAAAATAAACCCCTTATCCTCAAGTTGCTTTTGGACATACTATATTATTAGAAACCATAGTAAGATAGACACAGAAAATTCAAGATTCAATGTTAAAAAGTTTAGTACATCAACAATGTTATCACCTCTTTTATATATTGCAGTAGACAGCAAGAGAAATAGGAGTGGATAGGAAGAGAAAAAAATTTTTTTGGTTAAGGATTGATCATAGAGGAAATTTTCCATTATAACTAAAAAATTAACAGGGCTATAAACATATGAGCAATCTAAGATAAATTGGGATCAGATATGCTACTAAGAAAAAAATTAATGATTAATTTTATATGCATTGGTGTTTTGTCTGCATATATGTCTGTGTGAGGGTGTTAGATCCCCTGGAACTGGAACTATAGACAGTTGTGAGCTGCCATGTGGGTGCTGGGAATTAAACCCAGGTCCTCTGGAAGATCAACCAGTGTTTTTAGCTGCTGAGCCATCTCTCTAGCTCCTCAGAAAGGTTTTTTAAAAGATGGCATTTGTAATCAAAATTATAAAATATTTTGAAATAAATCAAGGAGATGACAAGATTTTTACTGAAGAAATTATGAAACATCAGACTGCTTAATAATCCTCTTGTAGAATGTAAAGATTTGTCGAACTGGTTTAATAAAGTGCTGATTGGCCCATAGCCCAGCAGGAAGCATAGGCAGGGCAACCAAGCCAAGAATGATGGGAAGGAAAAGAGCAGAATCAGAAGACCGTCAGTCACTGAGGAAGCAGCATGTATAGAAAATAAGGTAACAAGCCATGAACTAACCACATGGCAAAGCATAGATAAGAAATATGGGTTAATTAAAATGTATGAGCTAGTTAGTAACAAGCCTGAGCTATTGGTGGATCATTTATAACTAATACATATTAAGTCTCCAAGTCAGTTATTTGGGAAATGGCTGCTGGTTATTTGAGAACAGGCAGGGAGGAATAGAAACTTCCAACTACAACATCATAGAAAGGTATGGAAGAAGACCTAAGAGTGGTTCTACAGTCATGGCAGACCAGCGAGATGGTTTGAGTGAGAGATGCCCCCTATGTGCTCATGTAGGTGAAAACTGGGCCTCAGTTGGTGGTGCTGTTAGGAAAGGTTATAGGGAGGGAGAGATTTGGTGGAAGAAGTATGTCACTGGGGGTGGGCCTTGAGGTTTTATAGCCCACCCACTTCCTGTTTGCTTTTACTACTTCCTGTATATGGATGATGTGATCATCCAACTTCCAGCTCCTATCATACCCTCCCCATTATGATGGACTATCCCTCTGGAACTATGAGTGAAAATAGTCTCAAAACTTGTGTGTAAATGCTGGGGTAGGAGAGATGGCTCAGGGATTGAGAACATTAGCAACTTCTGGAAGACCTGGGTTCAATTCCCAGCAGCCACATGGCAGCTCACAACCATTTGTAACTCCAGTTCCAGGGGATCTGACTCCCTGTAAAGAGGACATCAGGCAGGCATGTGGTTCACAGACATTCAGGTAAACACACACACACACACACACACACACACACACACACACACACACACACACACATTCAATGTAAGGTTCATCAGAATTCTAGAAATTTTATAGATTTGAAAGCTGATCCTAAAATTCAAGTACAAAAGTAGAAAGGTGAAAAACTGTTATCATTTTCATGAAGTGATCTGTAAAGTCACTGTAATTAAGAAAATGCACTGACAGAAAAACAGCCACATTGACCAATAAGATAGAGTCCAGATAAAAGTTCAACCTTGTTTGACTAATAAGAGAGGTGGTGCTAAGTAGTACTGGAGGAAAAAAATGAATGGTGCTTAATATTTATTCAGATGGAAAATAAGATTAGATAGGATTGGATCACTCATAAAAATAAGTTGTAAGTTGATTTAAGATTTCCATGTGATGGGGGAACAGGAAGGTTGAGTGGAGGGGGTAGAATAGGGGGAAGAGGGAATCATAGGTTAGAAGACAGATCAGGCACCAGTGAGACCTCTAGTGATCTAAAGGGATGACACCAATTGGCAAGCTAAGCAATAGTGGAGAGACCACCTCGAATGCCCATTCCTGATAATGAACTTGATGTCTATAACTATCCGGGAGCCTTCATCCAGTGACTGATGGAAGCAGAGGCAAACACCCACAGTTAAACACTGAACTGAACCCAAGGAACCCAGTGACACAGAGAGAGGAGCGATGAGCAAATTGGCAAAGAATGGGCTGGCAAAACCAGCAGAGACAGCTGATCTGAACAGGGGAGAGCTCTCAGACCCCAGACCGATGGCTGAGAGGCCAGCATGGGACTGATCCAGACCCCCCCCCCCCCGAATGTGAGTGTCAGTGAGGAGGCCTGGGCAACCTATGGGGCCCTGAGCAGTGGATCAGTGTTTATCCCTGGAATACAAACAGATATCTTGTGTTCATAACACAAAGAGGGATGCTCTCTCAGCCTGGACTCTTAGGGGAGTGCCTGGACCTTACCCTGAGTGAAATGACAGACTCTAGACTCTGGAAGGAATTGGCAATAGGGTGGGAGGCTGGGGGTTGGGGTGGTGGAGGGGTGAGGAAGGAGGGGAGGGAGAGGGAACTGGGATTGACATGTAAAACAAGCTATTTAAAATTAAAATAATAATAATAAAAAAAGATTTCCATGTGAAGTCGGGTGGTGGTGGTGCACGCTTTTAATCCCAGACCTTGGGAGGTAGAGGCAGGGAGATCTGTGAGTTCGAGGCCAGCCTGGTCTACAAAGCAAGTTTCAGGACAGCCAGAGCTGTTACATAAAACAACTCTGTCTTGAAAAACAAAACAAGGCAAATACTTTTCAAGTTTTTCAAAGAAAATATAGGAAATATCCTTGTAGACAGTAAGGATTTATTAAATCTCTGACTAGTCATGATAATAGTCATGATAAAACAGTATAGCTAAGTTAGAAGCACTTACTAAGTGTAAGACGTCTGTGTGTGTGTGTGTGTGTGTGTGTGTGTCCCACACTGAAGAGATACATTCAAATCACTTTGTAAATCAAAAAAGTTCTTTCAGAACAACCCCATAGAAACACAGTCCATCCCTCTTCCAGATGAAGACACCCAAATGATTATCCACAAAAGGTGCTAGGCCTCCCATGAAGTCCAGTTAAATTGTGATTTGCTACACACCAACCAGCTGACAAAATGACAAAGCCCAGTGATTCCAAATAAAAAGATGCTGAAAAAAACGGAGCAGTGGTGGCGCACGCCTTTAATCCCAGCACTCGGGAGGCAGAGGCAGGTGGATCTCTGTGAGTTCGAGGCCAGGCTGGCCTATAAAATGAGTTCCAGGAGAGCCAGAGCTGTTACACAGAGAGACCCTGTCTCAAAAACCAAACCAAAACAAAGCAAAAAGGCACCCAAAACCCAGATTTCCCCCCTAAGGAATTGTGAAGTGGAGCAGCTCTGGAAGCTTCCTTGCAGATGACGTGTGAGCCCCGTAATCTCCAGTCCCTGCTCTTACCTCACATGCTCTCACCTGGGAACAAGGTAGCCATGTGCTTGGGGCAGTCTACAGCAAGTATTTTACTGACACGCCTAACTGTGTTGGCTAGTTTTGGTGTCAACTTGACACAAACTAGGGTCATTTGGGAAGAAGAAATCTTCATTGAGAAAATGCCTCCGTAGAATTGGCTTGCAGACAATCTGTAGGACATTTTGTGTTTTTTGTTTTTGTTTTTGTTTTTGACTGAGGATTGACGGGGAAGGGCGCAGCTGGTGGTTCTGGGTGCTGTGAGAAAGCAGGCTGAGCAAACCATGAGGAACAGGTCAGTGAGTGAGCAGCACTGCTCCATGGCCTCTGTATCAGCTCCTGCCTTGAGTTCTTGCCCCAACTTCCCCGGACAATCAACTATAAACTGCAAGGTAAAATAAGCCCCTTTCTCCCTAAGTTGCTTTTGGTCAGGAAGCTAAGACACCAGCTCTTAGAGCAAATTGCCAAATGTATGTATGACCTGTTGATACTAAATTTAGAACATGCAAATACAGTAGATTATCTGTTTGTGCATGTGGCTGGTACATGCGGGTTTGAAAATATCTTGTATGTATGGGGATAGTTTAAAAAGAACGCAGGGCAAGGGAGGGAGTCGCAGAGGGAGAGATGATCAGGGGTTAAGAGCACCGGCTGCTCTTCCAGAGGTCCTGAGTTCAATTCCCAGCAATCACATGGTGGCTCACAACCATCTGTAATGAGATCTTGTGTGTATGAAGACAGAGCACTCTTGTACATAAAACCTACAAATAAATAAATTAAATCTTGAGAAAGAGAAACAGAGAGAGAGAGACAGAGAGAGAGAGAGAGAGAGAGAGAGAGAGAGAGAGAGAGAGAGAGAGAGAGAGAGAGAGAGAGAGAGAGAGAGAGAGAGAGAGAGAGAGAGAGAGCACCAGGGACTGGAAAAATGGCTTAATACTTAGGAGTGCTTGCTGTTCTTCCAGAAGACCCACATTCGTTTCCCAGCACACCTCCTGCAACTCCAGCTCCAGTTCTGGAGTCCTCTTCTGGTCTCAGCAGGTACACACGAACACACATGGCACACACATACATAGACACACTCACACACATTGAGAGAGGGAGATACACAGAGAGACCGCCAGGAATGATGGTGGCAGCTTGTAATTTCAGCAGCCAGGTGGGGACAGGAAGACCAGAAGTTCAAGGTCATGTTTGCCTACACAGTGAGTACAAAGCCATCCCTGGCTACATTAGACTCTGTCACAAACAACCTAAAACAAAACAGCAGCAGCATACGAACAAAAACGATAAAAAAAAATGTCCTTGGAGTTGCTGGAGCCAAACCCTGCTCTCTTCGAGGTGTGGGAGAGGGAATGAGATTGGGAAGCGTATGGTGGCTTCTGTGCAAACGATTGGTCTCTTTATAGACCAATTTACAAGTTGTGTGTTTGTCTTCTCGTCCAGAGACATCATGCTTACTCTGGCTTTGTGTCGGGAGTTCTAGAGTGTGTTCTGGGACTTTGTGTGCGTTGACACTTAGATGTGTAGAGCCGTGTTCCCAGAACCTCAGGCATTTATTTTCCCTCACAATTACAGATATTGGGGACTGTCAGAGGTATCCACTCCCCACCTGCTACCACCTGTGACTATTGTAGTACTCAGTTTACCCGGAAGGACCTGGATGGGAGGTGACCTCCAGATTCTTGCTCCTAAGATTGCAACATTGTGGACCTTGTTTCTGGTTAAGGTGGGATGGCATATTTGTGTTTCCATTCTTCCTTTCTTGTTTGTTTTGTTCTTGTTTGTTTTTGCTTTTTCAGGCAGTTGTAACCTACAACTTCATGTGTAGTGGAGGGTGACCTTGAACTCCTGACACCTTCTGCCTTCACCTTCCACATGCTGGCATTACAGGCCTGTGCTACCATACCAGGCTTACTTCCAAGTTCTTTTATCTGAGATGGACTCTCAAGCATTCCCCTCCCTCAGCCACCTGGCCACTGGGGTAGCTGGGATGACAGACATTCACCACTGCCTCCAGCCCCTTCTTGCTTAAGGATGGACGGGTCCTGCTTTTTTTTTTTAAATCTGTAAACTGGAAAGGAGTAGAAAGATTAGAGGCACATGCTGAGGACACTGTGAAGTGACTGTCCAGTCCCTATGGTGAAGTGGGAAATGTGTAGGGATCGCAATGGCTTCCTTTGTCCTAGTGGGGAACTTGTAGGGATCCTGGTGTGGTGTCCAGGCCTTTTGTCTCCCTGACCACTGACTCTGGGCTCTGTTTGGGGACCAGCAGGTTAAAGGCAGCAGAGTGTTTGAGGACAGCAAGAGTCAAGGTGGTCCCCAACAAACTCGCTTCCTCTATGTGTTTTCTCTTGCCTATGCGTCTTTAAGGAAGGGTCTGCCCTGCCTGGCTGTCTGGTTCCCCCCTCAGACTTAATTCATTTTGAAGACTGAACAACCATGGGAGAGGGCTCTGAGCCCTCTTTTGCATGGCTCTTAGGAGACCGTTGGCAGGTTTATTGACTTCTGTTTCCCTGGGGGTAATATTCAGCAAAATGGAGCAATGGGAGTCTCACCATTTACTTCTTCTTCTTCTTTTTTTTAAAGAAACATATCTTTTTACTTATTTACTTTTATACCAAGTGTGTTGGTGTTTTGCCTGCATGTATGTCTGTGGAGGTGTCTGATCCCTTGGAGCTGAAGTTATAGACAGCTGTGAACCGCCATATGGGTGCTGGGAATAGAACCCAGGTCTTCTGGAAGAACACTCTGTGCTCTTAACCACTGAGCCGTCTCTCTAGTTCCTCACCATTTGTTTCTAACTCTTAAGTGGAACATAGTGAGCTTAAAGAGAGGCCTCAAAGTAGACCAGCGTCTTGCCCTTAGACGCTGTTTGGTTTGCTCAGACTTTTAGATACATTTGGATGACTTGGTGATGTTTGAAATTTTGGAGATTTCACTTAAAAATGGAGATTCAGCTTCAGAAACCTTGGGGCTGGAGAGATGGCTCAGTTGTTAAAAGCACTGGCTGCTCTTCCAGAGGTCCCGGGTTTGACTCCCAGCATCCACATAGTGACTCACAACCATCTATGGTTGCAGTTTCAGGGGATCCAGTACAGTCTTCTGGCCTGCATGGACCCCAGGACATGCGCACAGTGTCCTTATATACACTCAGACATATAAAGTAAAAACCCTTAAAAAAGAAAGCCAGGAAACTGATGTCTGGATTCCCCTCCTGTACAATACTCAGGTCTGATCAGAGGGGCCAGTGTCTTTGAGCCTGATGGGCAGGTCCATTCACTCAGTCAATGAACAGGCTAGCTCGAAAGACATGTGAGTAGATGCACCAGCTCTGCAGCCAGCCAGCCTATCCAAAGGAGTTAAGTTCTAAGACTGTTTCCTTATCTGTGAATGTGGTCAGTAATAGCACTCTGTCCTGTATGTACCCATCCAGGTCAGCCACTGAAACAAGGATCAGTGCAGGATGTACACAATAGACAACAAGGGAATTAAGAGAATAAACTGGGACTTTGTGGGGGCTGCAGAGATGGCTCAGTAGGTAAGAACACTGGCTACTCTCCCAGAAGATCTGGGTTTGATTCCCAGCATCCACATGGCAGCTCATAACCATCTGTATCTCCATTTTCAGGGGAATCCAGTGCCTCCTTCTGGCCTCCTTGGGCACTAAGCACATGTAGTGCACAGACACATATATACAGGTAAAACCCCCATACATATAAAGAATAAGTTTAAAATTTGACTTTGATGAAAAGAAATGTTTAGTGCAAATTCCTACCATCACTGTCATTGCTGTCATGCATGCAGTAATTCTCAGGACAACTGACATTCAAAGTCTGGCAGGGCATGGGGGTAATATTCACACTCAGCCAATGGGATCTGAGGCTTGGTTAATGTGTATGAGTAGGACAGGCTTGCTTGGGAGGAAGGGACTTTGACAGGAGATGGCCATATCAACACCCATGGCTGAGTCTGGAACTTGGAACCAGAGGTTGAGCAAGTTTTCTCTCTGCTTATTAGCCTGAGTAGGGCCTTGCCTAACCTGGGCAAGTGCTGGGACCTCATTTCCACCTGAGGTGTCTTCCAATGGCGATCTCATTACATCTGACAACAGGATGAAGGGTCTCTGATAACTGGGTGAAGGGTCTCGGTATACCTCAGATGCCCAGACACTGGGGGTGAAGGGTCTTGGCATACCTTGGATGCCCAGACACTGGGGGAGAGCCTTTGGAGTCTCTTCTCTGCAGGAATTTGAGATGTTCATTTGGTCCCAAGTCACCTTGGTCTCCCTGGAATGTGCAGAACCCTTTATGGCCCTTCTAGATTTTTAGTTCCAGAGTCAATGCCATGCCATGGTTAGGTGGCTTCAGTTCTCAGGGACCCTGGTTGAAATCTGCATTCCTTTAAAGCAATTCTTGAGACACTTCTGTGAGTTCAGGGTGTCTAAGATGCTTCTGGACCAGCTTGGCATTTTTCACTTGGTACTTAAACCAAAGAGACTCCAGAGCCTGCCCCAACTTAGCATAAACCTTTGACTATCAGCGCCAACCTTAATCCAACTCCTACTTCCCCCTTTCCTGGCTCCAGCCCAGATCTTCCCCAGATAATGTCATCTCCCCCGCACCCCAATCCCACACTACTCCCTCCTAACCCTTAGTCTTACCTGAGGTTCATGTCCCCCTTCATGGCCAGGGTGAAGAGGTTGGACAGGTTCCCCCCGGGAGAGCAGCCACAGATGAGGATGGCCAGTGCCTCAATTGGTTTCAAATGGAAGACCTTGCCCAGGACAAAGGCAGCGAGGGGCATGATACCGTACTGGGACAACATGGCAATGACCACCCCTTTGGGCTTCCGGAAGTGAGCCTTGATCTTGCTGAACTCCATGGTGCAGCCGAGTGAGAACATGACAAATAGCAGCATGAACACCAGGATGACACTCAGCGCCTTGTCTGTGGGGCGGTGGCCAAAGCCAGGCGGCAGAGAGAAATTTAAGGGGGCTGAGATATTGTGTACCTCCATCCTCTGGCACGGCGGGGACCACCCTGGTTCTTCGCTGCTGGCCTTCCTTGCCCAGTGCTTGCTGAATGTTTTCTTTAGTTTCCTTTCAGGACAGAGTTTCTGGACAAAATGTAGCTGTGGGCAAATAAAAGATTATGCAATCTGTAGAACCATTGCTCGCTCTGGCTATGGCTCCAAAGGGAGGAGAGCCACAGCCTTATCTCCCTGGGTCCCCTACCTTGTTCAAGTTCCCCGACCTCTGTGCCTGCTGGGTGCCACTCACACCGCACAGGGTTGGTCCTTTCCTCTGACCTCTGTTGACATGCTTCTCTAGCTCCTCTGAGACCCACGTAGGACCTGCAACCAACCAGGTTTACCTTTTCCTCTTCCTTCCAGCTCAGGCCCTGTTGCCTCAGGTTGTTCACCTGGAAAGGTGCCCTCCCCATGCCCAGTGAGTCCCCAGGTGAAAGGGACTGTACTACCTTTGGTTCCCTCACATAGGCAGAGCCTGAGGGCCGCTGGACAGTATAGGGGCATGCGGTGTTGCTGCCTCCAGGAGAGGATGTTTCCTCCTGTGAGACCTTGTTTTGGGCCCATACCTGGACCATGTGCAACATCAGCAGCATCCAAGAGGCGGGTGTGACTGTCTTGCACCACACCCCTCCCTTCCTCTTAGGGATGGGAGGGGGTGGGTCTTTCATAAGCAGTTTTCTCTTGGCTGGTTGGAGCCCACAGGCTCTGATAGAGGCCTCGTACAGTCCTAATTGCTGAGATTTGTGACAAGGCTTATGGTCACTTTCTTTAGGTTTTCTTGAGATGAAGGTCTTACCATGTAGCCCACACTGACTTTGAATCTGTGACATTCCTGTCTCATCCTTTCCCACGCAGGGGCTATGGGTATGAGCCACCACACCTAGTGTGATTAGGCCACTGTGGGGCAGAGGTAAACAGACTTTTGGCTTGGTGTAACTACTTGAAAACGAGAGCTCCTTCACATACTACTTTTGTAAGGCTCCCAAGTTGGGTTCCCAGTGTCTACGGCTTATAACCACCTGTAACTCCAACTTTAAAGGATCTGATGTCCTCTTCTGGCCTCCACAGGCACCCATACTAACATGTACCCCTCCTCATATGCATATTTTAAGTAAACTAAAAAAATAAAAAAGACAGTGAGAGACTCTTTGACAATGGTATCTGTGATCTCTAGATCCTGCATAGATGGGGATGTGAAAATAGTCCATACATTCCATATCACGCCCACGAGGCAGCTGCTCCATGGAGTTGTGCAATGCATAGCGTGTTCACTGGTGTGGGTGACATAAGACTGACATCCTTTTCCCTTAGAGAGTGTTTGATGTGAATGTTTTCCTGACGTTTGAGTTGGACTGGTCTCAAGAGAAGGGAGGTTAGAGTGCTGAGCAGTGCATGTGGATGCCAGACACTCTGTGGGATGCTAGCCATGCTGTGCAGGTGCTAGCCATTCTGGGGGTACTAGCCATTCTGGGGGTATTAGCCATTCTGTGGGGGTATTAGCCATTCTGTGGCGGTGCTAGCCATTCTGGGGGTATTAGCCATTCTGTGGGGGTGCTAGCCATTCTGGGGGGTACTAGCCATTCTGGGGGGGCATTAGCCATTCTGTGGCGGTGCTAGCCATTCTGGGGGTATTAGCCATTCTGTGGGGGTGCTAGCCATTCTGGGGGGTACTAGCCATTCTGGGGGTATTAGCCATTCTGTGGGGGTGCTAGCCATTCTGGGGGGGTACTAGCCATTCTGGAGGGTACTAGCCATTCTGGGGGGTACTAGCCATTCTGTGGGGGCACTAGCCATTCTGTGGGGGTATTAGCCATTCTGTGGGGGTATTAGCCATTCTGTGGGGGTATTAGCCATTCTGTGGGGTGCTAGTCATTCTGTGCGGGTACTAGCCATTCTGTGGGGGTGCTAGCCATTTTGTGGGGTGCTAGTCGTTCTGTGGGGGTACTAGCCATTCTGTGGGGTACTAGCCATTCTGTGGGGTACTAGCCATTCTGTGGGGGTGCTAGCCATTCTGGAGCATTGATGGTGGCCTGAAGGAGGCTGCTTTCTCCCTTTGGGGCAAGCCAACAAGCACAGACATTCCTTCTGCTTACTAGCCAACATGGTTTGAGTGGCCCGCTTGCCTTGAAAGACTGAAACCTTGCAAACTGTGAGCTGAAATGAATAGTTCTTCCCTTAAAAGACAGCTGAGTGCTCCCGTTGGAGGGAGGGGAATCGGACTGCACCTCTGGACGGGAAACCCCACATCTGCATCGTCATCCATCACCTGGAGCTCCGCCCAGCATCACACCATTCACAGCAGTTTTGTGGAAAGCCTGCCCCTGTGGCACAGGCACATGTAAATCACTCATCTGTTCAATGACCAGGGGCACAAAACTCCCAATTTAACGTACTTAGAAGCTAAAAGAGTAGCAAAGGCTAACAACTGATGCCTGCATCAGGAAAATGCCAGCACTATGTAATGGAATTTTGATAGTGATCACATTTTGACTAGACCCAAATCAAAGATCAGTAAAAAAAGACCACCTGATTACAGCCATCTAATGTAGTAATTGATGAAAGTGAGCATTACCAATTGATGCTAAAACCCTTGGCAGGGGAAATGTGGTTGGTGATTAGGATGTTCACATGGGAGAGGGTCTCACCCTACAGATAAATCGTTAGTTGTCAGAGGCCTCCGCCATAATTCAGTCTTAGCACCATTACGTAGCAGAAATACTACCTCTTAAGATAGGAAGCAAGTTCCGAGAATACAGATTTGTGGCTTATCTGCCTAGTGTAAATCAGGGCGTAGTAGGCTTGAACAATAGAAGGTAGATTGTGAAAGATAAAGTTAGAATCTGCAGTTAGGTTCCCAGAGGACCCATCCCACTGACCTTTGTTCCTCCAGGCTCACCACAGCTACAGTTAACACCCCCCATTCCTTCCCCTCCTCACTTCCTCTACATAAATCTCTTTGGGATGATATAAAAGTTGTCACCCTGATCAGATTTCTGTCTTGGTGTCCTTTCTCATATCTCCTGTCGCCCATCTTTCTCCTAGGTGTCCCCCAGTCCCCATGGTGAATGTCCCACGGGTCGGGGCAATTAATTATAGTGAGAAAGGTATGTATTAAGCAACTGGGCAGTTACTGTAACCAGTTTAAATTAGGAATTACTGATATCGAGGCAGATTCCTGTTACATGACTCCTATCATATGAAATATGTCATTGCAGGCACAATGTCTAATCCAAGTCTAACTAGTGTTTAGACCCAGCTGGAAATATAAATGCTAGAAAAAGGAAAGAAATGAAACACAAAGAAACAATGAAACAGTTTTAGATCACAGGACATTTAATAAAAAAATTGGAGGCAGGGTAGTGGTGGTGCACACCTTTATTCTCAGCATGTGGGAGGCAGAGACAGGTGGATCTCTGTGAGTTCAAGGCTAGCCTGGTCTACAGAGTGAGTTCCAGGACAGCCAGGGTTATGCAGCAAAATCCTGCCTTGGAAAATCAAACCAAATCAACCAACAACCAAACAAACAAACAAACAAAATTGGCATGTGGTTTTTAAAAAAGTAACAGGAATCCACTTATTATTTGTGTGTGTGCACATGGCATGTGTGTGGAGGCCAGAGGACAGCTTCCTGGACCAGTTCTCTCCTTTCATCTCTATGTGATTTCCAGGGGTCAGCCTCAGGCCATGAAGCTGGCGCATCAAGTGCTTTACCTGTGACCTTGCCTGCCCTCGGCTTGTGTCCTTGTAAATAGAAAGTAAATGAAACAAAATTAGGGGAGGACTTTCTAGACTAAAAGGAATTGAGACATAACCACTTGCAATCTATGAGTAGTTACTGAATTGAAAAAATATCTGAAAAAATTTCAGGGTAACTGTGGGTATTTGAATAATTATGGGGTGTGTATTAGCTGATATGTGTGTAATCTTTGCTGTGTAAGTATTGGTGTTGATGTGTCAGTATCTCAATGTTTCTGTCCTTCCAAAACTTGCATGTTGAAATCTTACCACCAGTGTTACAGAAAGTTGGCCTTAAAGTCATCCCTTAATGAATGGGATTCGTGGCCTTACCCTGGAACCCCATAATGATGTCTTGTGCCCCCCACCATGTGACCAGCCCTCACCAGATGCCAAATATACCAGGTCCTAGACTACACATGGCCTTGGACATGAGTCCCACCATTGAGCTACGTTTCCAACTCCAAGAATAAGCATTTTAACTGTGAGGAAAATGTTATTGACTAACATTGGGTAAAAGAGGAAAGGAAAGAGAGAAGAAGAAAAAAACACACTTAAGCTTTCATTGTTCATTGTGAGGAACAAATAGATAGCTGCTTAATTATAGGAAAATAGTGATATTAATTTCATTACAAAGGTAATAAGTAGAACAAAGATTACAATATTCCAAAAGCTGGAAGTGCATATAGTTCAATAGTAGTGTACTTGTCAATGTGCATGAGGTCCCGATGCCATGCTTAGTGTGCTGAATAACTTTATGTCAACTTGACACAAGTTAGAGTAACTGAGAAAATGGTCTCCATAAGCCATAAGATCCAGCTGTAAGGAATCCCACTCGTGCTGTCCTAGAACTCACTTTGTAGACCAGGCTAGCCTCCACCTCACAGAGATCTGCCTGCCTCTACTTCCCAAATGCTGGGATTAAAGGCATGTGCCAGCACCACCTGGCATAAGGCATTTTCTTAATTAGTGATTGATGGGGGAGGGCCCAGCCCTAGGTTCTATAAAAAAGCAGGCTGAAGAAACCATGAAGGGAAAGCCAGTAAGCATGGCCTCTGCATCAGCTCCTGCCTCCAGGTTCCTGCTCTGTTGGAATTCCTGTCCTGGCTCCTTTCAATGTTGGACTACAGTGCAGAAGTGTAAGTCAAATAAACCCTTTCCTCCCAAACTTGATTTTTTGTCATGGTTTTTCATCACTGTAATAGTAATCCCAACTATGACACCTAGTACCACGAAGCAGCCAACAAACCCATCAAAACTCATAAAAAACAGCAACTAGAAAAACCCTTCTGAGATCTGAGAGTTACTTACAGAAGCAATGATAATAGACCACTTCTTCAAAGTTACAAAACAGAAGGGGAAACACGATATTAGCATGACTAAATTAAGGTGAAGGTGCCTGTCCTATCAATAGATGCTGAAGTTGGCTTTAACTCACGTATCAAGAGAAAACCGATATATATCTAAGTGATGCTTTCCTTTATACTGGGATCAAGCAATTGACCATTTAAGAGAAGGTGTTTTCAGAAAGATTACGTGTGTGTGTGTGTGTGTGTGTGTATGAAGCCCAGAATTTTCTTTTCTTTTCTTTTCTTTTTGAGATAGAGTCTTATGATATAGCCTTGGCTGCCCTAGAACTCATTATCTACTCCAGGCTAGCCTTGAACTCACAGAGATTCACCTGCCTCTGTCTCTTACATGCTGTGATTAAAGGCATGCACCACCATGCTTGGTCAAAAAAATTTTTTTTCTAGACAGGGTTTCTCTGTGGCTTTGAAGGCTGTCCTGGAACTAGCTCTTGTAGACCAGGCTGGTCTGGAACTCACAGAGAACTGCCTGCCTCTGCCTCCGGAGTGCTAGGATTAAAGGTGTGCATCACCAACGTCCAGTAATTTTTTTTTCTTTATGGTGCTGGGAATTGAAGCCAGGGTTTCTTGTGTGCTAAGCATCTACTATGCTACTTAACTACACTCCCTGCTCTGCTCATAATTTTATTTAAGGTGAAGATGAAGGAAGGCTTATTATAATGCAGTTAGCAATAATTGGATAAATGGTCATCTGCACATCGAGTGACAAAGTGCAAGAGTTACAAAGACGAAATTGTAGGAGATGCAGGGAAGCACACGCATAGCAGGAGACTTTGATTCACTTCTCTGACCAGTGAGAGATCACTGGAAAAGTGAGCTGGGATGCAGAGGATCTAAACATATTCACAGAGATGGAGAGGCTTGTTGTCGCCCTTCCAAAGAACTTCGCAGTCTCTCCTTTTAAAAAATTAATAATATGCTATATTAAAAAAACAGCTTTACATGGATGTAATCTTGTCTGTCTGATTTGTGTGCACCGTCTGTGTGCAGACGCCCTTGGAGGCCAGAAGAGGGTGTTGTATCCCCTGGAACTGGGTTATAGGCAGTTGG